GCTTATAGGAACACTATAGTGTCAGGAATACAAACATATATTCCTGACACCATAGTTGTGAAAACGCTATTCACCCTGGCTTTATGTGATAATGGCTATGCCCCTTCCCTTTCATGACACTGTCAAAAAGGTACCAAGCATGGATGTCATTACAATTATGCCCCCCCCTGGAAAAATTCCTGCGGACGCCCATGCCGTTGGGTAGGGGTGTTGCTGATTGGCTAGAGCGGTCAGCTGGCACTCTAAGCCAATCAGTAGCTCCCCATTCATAAAAAAGTAAAAATATTTTATGAACCGGGAACTAGCGATTGGTTTAGAGCGTCAACTGACCACTCTAGCCAATCAGCGGCACCCATGCCTGACGTCAATCTGCACTTCCTGACACTCTGTTTCAGAAGCCAAATACCATTGAGCGACCTGGAGCTGGAGGAAGCCTTTGTGGTTAAACCATTTGAGAGTGATTTAACCCCTTAAAGGAAAGCGAGCACCCAGGGGCTTCCTGGCATCATAGCATTTTCATTTAGGTGAAGTTGTTATGGTGACCAGAATGGTCCTTTAATTTGCTTAAAGGAACACTATAGTGTCAGGAATACAAACATATATTCCTGACACCATAGTTGTGAAACGCTATTCACCCTGGCTTTATGTGATAATGGCTATGCCCCTTCCCTTTCATGACACTGTCAAAAAGGTACCAAGCATGGATGTCATTACAATTATGCCCCCCCTGGAAAAATTCCTGCGGACGCCCATGGTTACTCCATATCACCCCTAATAAGCACCACAGCCTTGATGTCTTAAAAAAACAACAACAAACAGACATAACAATAAGACAATACATATTTCCTATCACTCCTGACTAACATATCTCTTGAAGACTTGCCCTGTCTTCATGTTCTAAGTACCTTCTTAGTACCCACAGGTAGGGGAAATCTCTTTTTAATCTTAATACAATATTTTGTACCCCGGGAGGGTAAGGGATAAACAATTATAAATTAAATATGTATAAATGACATCTATAATTTCTTCAGCTTATCTTCTGTTTGTAGAGTTCTTTTCATAGTACTTGACTTCGACTCTCAAGTTTAAATCTAAGAATTGTTGTGTCCATTCCACGAGTACGTTTACATTTATTGCATTAATCCGGCTCAGTACAAGTTTAGTAATGGTAATCCAATTTTTATGTTTAATGACTGTTTAATGAATGCCGGGAAGATGAGGGGTTAAATTATGAACTGTGGAATAATCCATTATCACACTCCGTTTATGTCTTCAATCATTGCCCTAATGTGCTTAATTAATAATTCATTCAAATTATTATACGTTATACACTATATATTATTTCTGTATATCTTGTTAACTATGTAATTAACTAGTAGAGACCCCCTAAATGTGCTTTAATTAATTGTGTCATGCTGGTGATTACTAATGTCTTATTACATTATATAATAATAATGTTTTTTGTTTTAATTGCCTTGGGAGTATCTAATCTTTCCTAGACTATAATCTACAAGTGGCCATGCATTGGCATCTAATTTAGTGTTAAATCCCATGTGCTTATATTTTGTCTAAACTTACCCAGCCCAGCAAAGCACCCAGAGCTCAATCAGCTGTTCCACTGCCCTTTGCAACAGGTAGCCTTCTGGAAGACCAACACTTCATTATATTTTTTACAGTTATTTTTGTTGTGTGTGTTTTTATATTTAGTGATTATTATTTTAGTTTATTATTTTCAATGTATTTATTTCCATGTCTTTGTAACTGGAGCCTGTGCTAATCATACTTTGCATATCCTTGGCACATTGCTTATTTTATCATCTTTGTCTTGTCCATTATGTTAAAAGTTAGTTTAACCAGCTCAGGCCCATATATCTTTCTTGTTATTTTTTTAATGGTTTTATTTCCCTACATGAATACCTCTGTCTTATCTCTGTAATTTTCAATCTTTCCCTTTGTTTTTCCTTAAATGACCCTTAAATCAAATGTCCATAGATTAATCTCCCCCATCCCTTAGCCCATCTGACCCTAATATATATCCCACAGTTTGATTTTAAAACTTGTCCAGCCCAGCAAAGCACCCAGAGCTCAATCAGCTGTTCCACTGCCCTTTGCAACAGGTAGCCTTCTGGAAGACTGTTTCCCCTTCCACCTACCCCATGCTCATTTATAGATAGTGTCCCACACAACTTTCATTCTCCTGAAATGACAGGTGCAAACACTGATCAGCACACCCTTCCAAACTCTTAACCCTATAGAATACATACTCTCTCTCCTTACAAATAGCTATATATCACACACCAATATTATATACTTTGATTTAATTTTTGTTTTTCACTATTTGTGTTTCATTTTCATCTACACATCTCATACTAACACGAATCCAATATGACCATACTGTTATTCTTAATAACCCTTTTCTCACTCCAATTTTGTTAAATCACTACCGCCATAAGCACACACCTCAAACTGGAAAACAAATTATCATACACCATGGCCTGCTCTGTTGCTGTAACTTATCTGCTGAGTATCCTATCATGGGCATCCGCAGGAATTTTTCCAGGGGGGGAGTGGGGCATAATTATAATGACATCCATGTTTGGCCCCTTTTTGACAGTATGTATTCCTAACACTATAGTGTTCATTTAATTAAATTAAAGGAACATTCTTGTCACCATAACAACTTCATCTAAATGAAAATGATATGATGCCAGGAGGCCCCTAGGTGCTCTCTTTCCCTTTTCCTTTAAGGGGTTAAACCTCTCTCAAATGGTTTAATCCCAAAGACTGCCTCCAACTCCAGATCTCCAGGTCGCTGAGTGGTATTTGGCTTCTGAAAAGGAGTGTCAGGAAGTGCAGATTGACGTCAGGCATGGGTGCCACTGATTGGCTAAAGTCAGCTGACGCTCTAAGTCAATCGTTAGTTCCCAGTTCATAAAAATGTTTTACTTTTTGTGAATGGGAGCTACTGATTGGCTTAGAGTGCAAGTTGACCGAGATAGCCAATCAGCAACACCCTTACCTAACGGCACTCTGTGCTTCCTGACACTCAGTAAATAAAAGACACATTAACACTGAGATTTTTTTTTTACCTGGGAAGATGAGAAGGTCCAAGTTTCCCTGAAAGGCCCAGGTTCCAAAGCCTTATGATGTGGTGTCCAGAATAAAGTGGAGGGATCACTTCACTTGTCCTTCTTGCTCAAATCTCCTTTTCTTCTTCTTCATTTGACACAGTCTTCTTCCTTGGCTTCTTTTGCTCCTTTTACATACAATATAAGGTGGAGTGTCTTCTTATTATAATAAATATTCTGTATCTCTAAAAAACAGAACAAATAAAGGCATATGATAGTGCCGTATTGTCTGTTATATAAAGAAGTTATAGTAGAAATAGGAGGAGTATCACTCACGAGTGCAGAGCCTCAAAGTATGGCTCAATTTTCCAGTATTGTGGGATATGAGGTTCCCACTGCCTTCTTTGTATGGCTGGTGATCAAATATTCCTCTCAGGAACAGGTAATATTTTCCAAAGTGCTTTATTATAATGTGCACAAAAAATGTAACAAATTAAAAACATAAATAGAAATTAAAATTACAAGACCTTACAACTTGAAGGTGAGTAGTATGAAGAGTCTTTGGTTCAAAGAGTCTATAGTGAAAACCCGTTTCACCTCTTATAGAGGCTTCATCAGTTGCTGTAGTGTATGAAAAGAATGTTCTTTATATATTAAAATTCCAGAGTGGTCATGAAGATCAGCTGATTTTCAGCGTCCTCATTTCACTTCCGGTTTCCGGGTTGTTGCGTTCCACTGGTGGAACGCAAATGACGTCATTTTCGGTGACGATATCCTGTCTCCGGCATTCGTAACGTTACTTCCGGTTTCACTTCCGGTTTGTGTTTCAACGGTGGAACGCAAAACGTCATAATCCCACGTGGATATCGGCGGGACTTCCGCCATGCGTTCCACCGCTGGAACGCATGGATTGCAGTCATATTTTTCTTATAGCTGGGCTCATATATAAAGTTCATGAATTAGCAGCACATCAATTTCCATATGAAGAAAGGAGCTATTTTCATAATAGAAGGGGTAGTATGTAAATAATACATAATGTTAAATGGTAAAAAACTCAATACTGAATAAGCAATAAAAATAAATGTCTATAGTAATTCAAAAGAGCATCAATACAATTTGAAGCAAAATGATGTAAAACAAATTAAATACCTTAAAAATCTGGATAGTATTATGTAAAATATATGTAAAATGAACTATAAAAAAACCTAAAATGTAGATATCATTTAAAATCAAATAAAATCAAAGTATTAAAATAAATACAAATACAAATACACATCTTAAAAATGGCAAACCTCAAAATCTGAATTAAGACCGTGGGGGATAAGAGTTTTAAAATTATAGATAAAACGCATCTCCTCGTTACCTAATACCTTAATATAATTGCCCCTTCTCCAATCTCGTTTAACTTCCTTGATCGCACAGAAAAACAAATTCTCTGGATTCTGGTCGTGGGTTTCTTTAAAGTGTAATGACACACTATGGGTTTCTAAACCATTTCTAATATTCCGAATATGTTCGGCAATTCTAACTTTTAGTGGTCTAATCGTCCTTCCAAAAAGATCTGAGTGACTTTGATTGGGGCCAAATAGTGATGGCTAAATGACTAGGTCAAAGTATCTCCAAAATGGCAAGTTAGATTACATGGGCATTTTAGTATGTATATTATGCCCTTTGTATGGCACGTTAAATGATCATTTATGATATAGGGTTTATGAATAATATCCTCTATATTGTGTAGGTATCGTTTAGTGCTTTTAGTAACTTTACAAGGGAGGCACATGCCACATACATAAAATCCTTTGAAATCTTGAATAAAATGTTTTGGCTTTTTAGAATTTAAATGACTTTTAACTAAAATATTTTTAAAATTCTTTGCCCCTCTGTATATAATTTTTGGCCTTGATGGTAAAATTTTATTCAAGATTGGATCATCCTGGAGTAAATGCCAATACTTTTTTATGGTGCATTGTATGCGTTTGTTTTGTCCATTAAAATTACAAATAAAAGGAATTTCGCTTGTGTCTCTTGGTTTGTATTTTGGTTTATATTGAATGAGATTTTTTCTTTGGAGTTTTCTAACTTCATTAAGATCTTGATCTAAAATGGTTTCATCATATCCCTTTTCTAAAAATTGCCCTTTAATGTGATTGGCCTGCTCTACATAATCTGTATCTAACTTACAATTGCGTCTAATTCTTATAAATTGACTTTTAGGAGCGTTGTTAAGCCAAGGTGGATAATGGCAACTGTTTTTTTCAATATAACTATTGGCATCTACAGGCTTGAAATGTTTTTTTGTAACAATCTTGGAATCCTGAATATAGATATCTAAATCTAAAAAAGTAATACAAGAATCACTAAAGGTGCTGGTCAGACGGATCCCACAGTTGTTCTTATTCAGATATGATATAAATTCCTGTAAAACTTCCATAGTTCCATTCCATATAAAAAAGATATCATCGATATACCGACAATACGTGATCAAGTGTCTCTTCCACTGCAGTTCTGTAAAGATGAATGTCTCTTCCCAAAATGCCATAAAAAGACTGGCATAGCTTGGGGCAAATTTTGTGCCCATTGAAGTACCGCAAATTTGTAAATAAAAAGAATTTTCAAACCAAAAATAGTTGTGAGTTAAAATAAGTAAAATTCCTTCTAAAATATAATCTATTTGTTCTATTTTAAAATCTGATCTTTCTAAAAAATATTTCACAGCTGCTAATCCTTTTTCATGCGGAATGATACTATACAGGGAAGTCACATCACATGTGGCCAAAATATTTCCCTGTGTCCATTCTATCTTTTCCAGAATCTGTAAAATGTGAATAGTGTCTTTTAGATAAGTAGGATTTTTTGTTCCCGCTTTATTCCTCTGATCTTCTTTTTAACTGTTTAAGTTTGAATCCTTATCCAAATAAATATGGAGTAAAGTAAAGATGTGCAGTAAATGTTCACAGGCAGTCTCCCCATCACTTATCTCTATCTTATCTCCTGTAGCTGTATCAGTTGCATTCCCTCCTTACTTGAACCTTGAACTCAGCTTCTCAGCATCTCTGCATGACTCGTGACCCCTCGCAACCCCACATGATCTTGCGAACCTGTTTTTTGCTCTCCATAAGTTTAAAGGGTAATCCAGATGTGGACCCCTTGCTCACGGTGCCTAGAAAGATATCAGCTATGCCTCACTGATGATGCCTAACAAGGCTGAAACGATCATCTGGGGTTGCTGTATCTCTCATGCAGAGAGAACTTGCTGGCATTTTGGATTTGGACTGCCCGTATGGGTGGGACCAGTCTGATATGCTTCAGATATGGTCTCTCTGTAACGGCACAAGATGAGCTAAGACCAGCTTGAGTTCTGAGCGGGGACCCACTGAAGGGCAGGCTATTTCAGCTGCTGTCCGTTCTCAGAATACTCTTATGACCTGTTTTTTGCTCTTCATAAGTTTAAAGGGTAATCCAGACGTGGACCCCTTGCTCATGGTGCCAAGAGAGATATCAGCGATGCCTCACTGATGATGCCTAACAAGGATGAAATGATCGTCTGGAGTTGCTGTATCTCTCGTGCAGAGAGAACTTGCTGGCATTTCGGATCTGGACTGCCTGTATGGGTGGGACCAGTCTGATATGCTTCAGATATGTTCTCTCTGTAATGGCACTAGATGAGCTAAAACCAGCTTGAGTTCTGAGCGGGGACCCACCGAAGGGCAGGCTATTTCAGCTGCTGTCCGTTCTCAGAATACTCTTGCGACCCGTTTTTTGCTCTATATTAGTACGTAGGCAATACTGTACTTTGGAACTTCGGAAATTCGGGACCTCGGCTATTCGGCACTTCGGCTATTCGGACATTCGGAAGTACCCGAATGTCCAAATTGCCCCGAAATTCGTCCGAATTCATATTCGGACCGAAACGAATTGCACATGTCTAGATGGAATCCACAAGACCTCTGAACGTGTCTTGTGGTATCTGGTACCAGCACATTAGCAGCAGATCCTTTAACTCGTTCAAGTTGGATTGGATGGATTTGTTGTTCCAGCACATCCCACAGATGCTCAATTGGACTTAGATTTGGGAAATTTGAAGGCCAAGGCAACACCTTGAACTCTGTCATGTTCCTCAAACTATTCCTGAACAGTTTTTTCACTGTGGCAGGGTACATTATCCTGCTGAAAGAGGCCACTGCCATCGGGGAACACCATTGCCCTCAAGGGGTGTACATGGTCTGCAATAGTCTCTAGGTGGTATGTGTCAAAGTAACATCCATATGAAATTACTGTGACACTTATAAATCTATATCGAATACACAGTACTTTGTATTTACTGGATGCTATGATTCAACCATAATAATGGGGGAATTTGTTACATGCATACACACGTCACAATACTAAGGAACACTTAAAAGAGAACAGAGAACTTAAAAGAGAACACTCCAAGAAAAATGATAACTGCAATGTGTAAAGATTATGGTGCCAGGAGTGCCAAGACACCTTCCTGCGACTATTCAAGGAGTTTAATGTGGGCGGCTGGTTATTCGCAGTCTCACAAAAGAGGTTCATCAGGCTCTGGGGAAGGGAGCACTCTCAAGTCTTGGGTCTCCTCCAATGTCTTATGACCTCTTCAACACGCCCTTCAAATAGTGCCGTGGTTGGTGGTCGAGGGACCGAGCGACACCAGATCAAAAGTCCACAGCATCACAGCACAGTCCCAATCTCCCGGTGTGCAGGACAGGTACAGACGATCCCTTGAGGTTGTGAACTCCAGCAGGGAGGCAGAATAAGTGTTCCGGGAAGCTCTCAATACCTTCTTGCCATAGTGATAATAGTCCCCTAATCCTTGGTGGGAACGGAGTTCTGTGACGCTATCCATAGACATTTTTAGGAAACTAACAACACTTCAAGGACTCCACCTCCTTCGAATGACAGTATTAGACGGCAGGACAATAGACAGGTTCTGAAAGACCAATGCAAATTAAAAGTCACAAAATAAGCATGTCTAAGAGCATTACTTTTAAAACATCTGAAAACCATAATTAGTTGCTCATTCTCTCAACAGCATTTCCAGTCATTAAAAAGAAGAGGGGTTGGGGGTTACTGCAGAATTAATCACGGCAGAAAAATTACCATTACCAGCACACAATCATCATTAGTGCTTTTATTAGATTTTGTTTCTTAATTGCAACAAAACTGCCTCACTTGCACCTGTAGACCATCATACATTGTTTTATTTTATTTTATTACAACTGCTATAAAAATGTTATTGCTTTGATATATTAATTGGTGTGTATTTATCTCTCTCTCTCTCTCTCTCTCTCTCTCTCTCTCTCTCTCTCTCTCTCTCTCTCTCTCTCTCTCTATATATATATATATATATATATATATAAAAATTATTATTATTTTTTTTTTTTTCAACCTGGTCTTATCTGGGAACTATATGACAGAGAAAACATAAAACTAGTTAATTGTCTTGCCCAGGGGACTTGTGCAAAAAAACAAAACAAAACCCAATCCCCCCTTCCCCCCCCAAAAAAAAAACCCCCCCAAAAAACAAGAAAACAAGTTAACTCCTATGTTTTGTTTTATACAATTACAAAGTATTTGTAAGGTGAGTAAAGGTGCTTTGATTTTCCAAAACCTGCTCATTGCTGCTTAATTCTCTTGCACGGAAAAGACCGCTTTTCCACCTAAAGCCTCTTGTTCTCCCTCTCAGAGTTTTCCACATAATCTGGATTTCGCTGCTAGGGAGGGAGGCAGGTTCATGCAGCACATAACCTGTTTTGCCAGCTTGCAAGGAAAAGGAACCCACATCAGAGGTGGGGCAGTCAATTCTCAGCTTGAAAAACTTGTTTCCTCATCTCAGATACAACCTCCAGTTAGGTATGGCCAGTCCCTGCAATTCTAGGCATTGTGATTTTGAAGGTGAAGTCATATGACTAAAGATGTTCTTCTGGAAGAAACTACCTGTTGGAACTGAGATAGTTATAGAAGAACCAAAACAACAACTGTCCATTGTAACAAAACTAAATTCTTATATTTTTCTTTTTTTTTTCTGTTGATGAAGAATAGCTGAGTTAAATATTTGCTATATTTTTGAGTGATATCTACATATCTACAAGTTTAAATGTGGATTTTGCACATTTTTGGAATGGCTTCTACACAGGGTGCCCTCATGTCACTTTCATAAATTGCATAAGCATAACTGTGAAAGGTGCATAAATAATTTGGTATACTGTGGAAACAAACAGCAAGAGGACCTGCAAAGGACAACATTTTTTCATATTTCTTCGTTTTAGGCTCATACTCAGTGGTGGGAAAAAATGGGTTGTACTCTCCTTTAGTTGCACACAGAAAGGAAATGCTATCCCTTGGATGAAAGATTAGGTTTGTGGTCTGAAGAAGTGTGTACCAGCCTTGTGGGGCCCCTGAGATGCCGTGGTGGTGCTGTTGGTGTTTCTGTCCTCCTTGCCTTTCCGAGGATAAACGGGCAGCTCTGATTGTGAACAGAGAAATAGACAGAATGCTGGTATTTGAGAAGAAAAAGGACCGTAGAGAGCTAAAACTCCTGCTTTTGGGTAAGTGTTTAGTTTGGTTATTGTAATTTTGTTCCATATTTGACTGCAGCGCTCTGTGAATGAAATAAACTCTATTATTTGTGCAATGGAGTCTTTAAAGAATGGTGTACCAAATATTTTAGTTTGATTGACTTTAAAGGACACCTGTAATAATGCTTTCATCAAGTTTTGAATGGAAATGCACCTTGGGTCATAAAGTGTTTGAAAATTAAATGAAAAATATAGTCAGTCGCTATAGTCTTTCCTGTTTCTGTGCAGAAGTGAATCAGGGAACACCACAGAGATGGTCAGTTTTAAAACACTATCTGTCCCAAGGTGTATGTACACTGATCAGCCACAACATTAAAACCACTGGCAGGTGAATTGAATAACATTGATTATATCATACAATAGCACCTGTCAAGGGGTGAAATACATTAGGCACCAAGTAAGCAGTTAATTCATGAATTTCATGTATTGGAAGCAGGAAAAATGGGCAAGCAAAAAGATCTGAGTGACTTTGATTGGGGCCAAATAGTGATGGCTAAATGACTAGGTCAAAGTATCTCCAAAATGGCAAGTTTTGTAGGATGAT